CCATTTATATGTCGTAAAACGATGATAATACTTTCAGTGAAACATCTTCATCAACTTCTGGTAGGGCTGTATGGCAGATTGCCAATAAGTGAAAAAAATTTCTTAATAACAATAGCATAAGGCTCATTGACCCATTTTCCATTCATTATCCTTTCATCTGTAAAGTTAAATCCTTTGATGGGAACATTTCTGACAGGAGAATCCCTTGTGTCGTCAATCAAAGTAGAACCATTTTTGCTATCCAATGACCTCTCAACCTCTGTAACTCCACGGCCATAAGCTACCCCAGCAATGGAACATTTGATGAACTCCATCGTGTTGCAGGTCAGAGTTCCAGTTTTATCAGAAAGTACTGTATCAACTTGACCAAGTTCCTCATTCAAGTTTGAAGTTCGGGCATAAGAAGGTTTGGATGCATCTTCATAGTACATATGGATATTTTGATTGATGAAGATGCTCTGAAGGACTTTAACAATTTCTATTGAAACATACAATGAGATGGGAATGAAGAAACCATATAACATTAAGGCTGTAAAAAATGAAATATAGCAGCAGCTGGTGCTCTTTTAGGATCAAAGAAAATTGTAGAGTCGTCTGGTCTTAGGTACCACCTTTTCATCAATCCATTGTCCAAGTCATCTTTAGTTGTGATGCCAAAGAAAATCGATCCAACAAATGCCATTAGAAACACAATACAAAACATGAAGTAGACAACCCTATCCATTTTCTTCTCAACCTTGGTTCTCTTTGAAGGAGCATCAGTGGAATTCTGAATGACCTTTGTGTCATGATCAGTGAAGATGACAGCTCCAAATATGTAGTCTGTGTTACGAAGTTTAGAGTCTCTCAGAAGAAGTTGCAGGGGAGAAAGGGGATACTGCTGTTCTTTATACTCCATGCTCCCAACAAATGAATATAAATTTGCATTTGGGTCTTCACAGTTGATTGTTGCTTGAAAATCACTGAATTGAAAGTCCTCATGTAAAGAAGAAGTTACTTCCAACCCTTGTTTTAACTTCAAATTTGTCTCCCCATCCAAGTTCATGGTCTCAACATAGCAGAATGCATCCTCGTAACTGGAAGAAAGCAGTAGGAGGTCTGCAGGAAAGAATTCGTCCTTCATTATCTTCACTATATGCCCCACCTTCAGATTCTTCCACTCAGTATATTCAAAGGTTCCTTGCCCTGTATGCACTTTAACTCTTCTGCTATTCACCTCAATATCCTGCAGCGGGATCCCACTAACTAGGTTATAAACTCTAATAATGCTAACAATTAGCACTTTATTTTTTCTTAAAATAATTAGTGGTATATTACTTTAATTTCAAATAGATATTTATTTAAAAAAATTGAAAATCACAATCATATTAGCATAGACAACCGGACTTAAAATGTGAGAAAAATTTTGGGAGGAAAATTTTTATAGATAATATTTTATGGCTTTCTTTGTTTTTTCTGTAATTGTATAAAATTATTAAGTTTTAACTCGCTATTAAATTTAATCAAGGAGATAGAATTAACACCTATATCATTTTTAGACAAGACATATTATTGAATATAGAGGAAATAGTGTTTGAAATTAATCTCCCTTGTGTATAAATCACACATAGGGTCATCTATTTATAATAGAGAGGTATAACTAAAAGAGTAACCGAAAGTAAACAGAATAAACAGAAGATATTGTGGTTAACAATATCTAACAATATCAAACTATATCTAAACAATATCTAACACTCCCCATCAAGCTGGAGTATACAAATCGTATGTGTCAAGCTTATTACAAATATAATTAATTCTAGGCCCCGTAAAGACTTAGTGAAAATATCTACTAACTGATCACTTGAGTTAACAAACTCAATCTTGATTTCTCCAGACATAATCTTTTCTCGAATGAAATGACAGTCAATCTCAATGTGTTTGGTCCTCTCATGAAAGACAGGATTAAAACTAATATGAAGAGCAACCTGATTGTCACACACAAGTGTCATTTGAGTGACATCTCCAAATTGTAACTCTCTAAGCAATTACTTGAGCCAAACAAGTTCACAGGCAGCTAAGGTCATAACTCTATATTATGTTTCTGCACTGGATCTTGCCACAATACTTTATTTCTTACTTTTCTATGAGATCAAGTTATCACCAATGGAGACACAATATCCAGATGTAGATCTTCTATTCGAAGGAGATCTTGCCCAATCAGCATTTGAGTAGCAAACAACTCTTGTATGGTTATTAGAACCATATAACAATCCTTTTCCAGGAGATCCTTTAATATACTTCAAGATACGAATGACTGCATTTCAATGATCTTCACATGGTGAATTAAGAAATTGACTTATCACATTGACTGCAAAGGAAATGTCAGGACAAGTAACTGTAAGATAATTCAATTTTCCAACCAATCTTCTATATTGCTCAGGATCAGATATAGGCTCCCCCTGATTTGGTAGAAGTTTAGTATTGGGATTCATGGGTGTATCAACAGACTTTGAACTCATCAACCCAGTTTCCTCCAAAATATCTATGACATATTTCCTCTGAGATATAACAAAACCATCATTGGACTGTGCCACCTCAATACCTAAGAAATATCTAAGTTTGCCAAGATCTTTGGTCTGAAAATGGTGACAGAGATGTTGTTTCAACTGAGAGATGTTACGGTTGTCACTACTTGTAAGAACGATGTCATCAACATATACTATCAAATAAACACATCCAGCACTCGAGTGTCGATAAAAGACAGAATGATCTGCTTCACATCGAGTCATACCAAATTGTTGAACAACCTTGCTAAACTTTCCAAACAAAGCCCTAGGAGACTGTTTTAGGCCATATAGGGATTTGCGAAGACGACATACCATCCCAGAAGACTCCCCCTGAGCAACAAACCCAGGAGGTTGCTCCATATATATTTCTTCTTGCAAATCATTGAGGAAATCATTTTTAACATCCAGTTGATAAATAGGTCATTGTTGAAGAGCGGTCATGGCGATAAATAAACGAACAAAAGTCATCTTTACCACAAGAGAAAAGATATCTCCATAATCCAACCCAAAAGTTTGAGTATAACTTTTAGCTACAAGACGAGTTTTGAGGCGATCAATAGTACCATCAGGTCCAACTTTGATAGCAAACACCCACCTGCAACCAATAACAGATTTCCCAGACGTCAACCAGGATGAGCTAAATTTTCACGGACAGTTTTTGGAATGGTCACAGAAGAAATAGAGGAAAGAAATGTATAAAAAGGTAATGACAGTCGATGATAACTCAAAGCAATATAATGGGGAGAGGGATTACGTGTAGAACGAATACCTTTTCGGAAGGCAATGTGTAACATCCTAATTCTCGCATCTCTACAACTTTTGTAAAAATTTTTATTAATTAAACTATTAAGAATTGGGGAAAGTGACTATAGAGTTTTATGTTGGTTAGATTATTTGTGATTTTTAGAAATTTTCTGAAAAAAAAAATATAATAAAATAATAATAATAAAATAATAATATATCTAAAAAAAAATGATTTTGACTTTTTAAAAAGCACATCTCTCTCTGCCTTCCGTAAGTTCTTCCCTTCTCCCATTTTCTCACTTTCTCTCAAACCCTTCTCACTTTGGAGATTGATTTTGAGGGGAAAATATTGATTTTCTTGAGAAACTCCAAGAGGTAAGTTTGTTTCTCTCAATCTTCTCTATATTTCTACGGTTTTATTTTTCAAAACGGTGCATTTTCAAAAATTTTCCTCACTTGGCTAAGCTTGAATGGGAATAGAAAGAGTGTTATTGTAGATTTTACAGCTAAGACACTAGAATGATACTTAGAATTGAGGATTAGAAGTGATTAAGCTAAAAACCTTAAGCACCCTAATTCGTAAGTCACTGTTCATTGAATTTTGGGACATTTGTGAACAGAATTAGGAATTAGTATCTTCATAAAAGTTGTAGCCCTTTAAGTTATAGAAATTTAGAAACTTGTTTCACATCAAACGGATATTTGTAGCTCAAGTTATGTTCATTTTACTGTCAAGTGCTATAGCTGTGAAGTTAAGAGGTTGCCCTGTTTCAACAGCCTCGGTTTTTGAATTACTGGGATTGATACGTGTGAAATTAGGACTTGATTTCTTCACAAAAGTTGTAGGAAATTATATTTTCGAAATTTAGAAATTTGTTTCATGTCAATACCTTATGTGTAGCATGAGTTATAGTCAAATTACCAAGGCATGTTCAGAGTGTTATTGTAGTTGAGCCATGTTGGAAACAACCACTGTAAACTGAAAAACTGCATTTATTCTACAAGGTATATGAATTTATTTCCTTCATCAATATTGTAGGTAATTAAGTTATTGAAATTTTGGCTCTTACCTCATGCCAAAACTGTTTATATAACTCTAGAAAATTCTGAAATACTGAACCTTGTCCATATTTGTTATTAGGATTCTTCCTACTCTAAGTGTATTACTTCCATTACTCTCTTCTACTTGTATTAATTCCATTAGCATCAATTTAGGCCCTAGAAATGATTTTATAACTCAAAGAACCATAGTCTTGAATTTTAGAATTTTAGGCTATGAAGGAGGTGAGATTTTAAAGGTCTAATATGGTTGGAATTAAGGATTTAATTGGGGTATTTAATTGGCATGTAGGAGACTACTTAGAGGTGCAAAGAGGAGACCCAAAGACTTGATAGATTATTTGATCAAGAGTTACTCTTCACCAAGTTACAACATAAGGTAAGGGGTAGGATAACTTTTATAATTCATTTTTGCTTGAAATAGCATTGAGAAGAAGTCCCTTACTTCTAAGTTAATTAGAAATTTATTTGGAATTATTTGAATGTCATTTCTATTTTTGATGAATTTTTAAAGTTTTAAGATTATGTGAAATTTATGGCTTCTAAATGGAGCAACTTGAGTGTATGGAACCTTGTATGATTATAAGACATCCATGAATGTTGTTTGAATCGATTGCTTAATCATTAGTAATTTTATATGATTTATTGATGAATTTAGATTGAGAATTAGCCTATTTCTATGTTTAGTATTCTGATAATTGCTTTAAATTGATTATTGAGATATATTGTATGTATGTTATGAAGCATGATAAGTAGAAAATTATTGTGCAATGTTTTTGTTAAGATGAATTAACATATAGAATTGCATTGTATAATTTGGTGGAATGGAGGAAAGGTGTGAGAAATGAACTATGTGAGAAAGAAAACTATTTTTTATATATATTAAATTGAATTTTATAATTTAATTATGAAGTGAAATTTTATATTTTTATTTAATTAATAAATATTTTTCAAAAGTATTGGAATAATTTTGATCTAGGAGAAAACAAGTAATTGTAAGTGAAAATGAACTTTTAATAATTTTGAGGAAATTATTTGCAATTATTATTGTTATTTAAGAAAAATAAATTAAAATTGAGAAAATTATGATTTTGAGTGATGATGAATATGATGAGGTGGAAGGATGGTTTGGTGAAAAGTAGAAGTGTTCTCGACTGTTTTTGGTTATTTTACAGATGTTAAAAATTTTGGGAATGTCCGATTTACAGGGAAACTCGTCGATTTTTCTTAAGAAATAACCTAGTATTATTTTGAAGAAGTTAAGATGTGATTTAAGTATAATGAGGTGAAACAAATTTGAAAGAGTGTGAAGAAGTTATGATAAGTCATGCATCATGTTCATGAGTCGAGATTGAGTGTATGAGGAGGATATGGAAAATCAAGGTCTGCTCCATGCTAACCTCGGGGATGATTGAGTGTGATCGAGCTCATATGTGGCTCGGACTCGCTACCTAAGCTGTGAGACTCTCACTACCAAGCTTGATTATCCCGACTAAAGCCCCGTGGTTTCTCATGATCAGTTGAGCTGGACAAGTAATTATGAGTATACTACCGTAAGGCGGTGAGAGGTTCTAGTGAAACTCCTGATCCTTCTCGAAAAGAAAAAAGAAAATAAAAGAGAAAGTGGTTTTGGGATCCCCATGGTCTTGCATACTAGGATGTGTCCTAGAAAAGATTAGTGGATACATTGCATTCATAATATCATATCATTTGTGTGCTGATTACTAGTATGTTTGTATATGTAATTTCTAATTAACCCAATGTTATTTGCATGCTCTAAATGAATATAAAGTTGTCTTACCCTTTCTGTGCATGTATTGTTGTTATGAAATGTTTGCATAGGTGACGTTGAACACAACTCATCCCTGGTATCATCTCCAAGTAAAGTTTAAATACGATCACTGCAAGTACTAAGTAGAGGACTTGATCGGACACCACTACAGTGCTACAAGAGATACTTCATTTTAGTGGACGTACGAAATATATCTCCTCTTTAGTTAGGTTGTATAGTTAGTTT